CTTCTTTTCCAGCAAGAACAATAAGCCTGCAACCAATAATACCTCCTTCCAGCTGGAGCTCCCTGTGAAATACACGGTGTACACAGTGATCAGCAGGTGCTTCATCCTGGCCCACCCCTTGGGGTCTCTGATCTTCCTCCAGGCCCACCTTGCTCTTCTGATGCTAGACAGTGAACTCAAGTTTGTTTTACTGTAATGAAGGACCTGAGGCAGGAAGCTTATGAAGAAAAGAGGCTCATGTAGTTCATGGTTTTGGAGACAGGAGTCATAGTGCAGAATCTTTCCAGAGCCCCCCTTGGTGACATTATCTTATGATAGAGGACAACATAGTGGTGGGAATAAGTGCCATCAGAGAGTGAGATCACACAGGGAGACAGGAAGCTGGAGGAGCAAGGGGCGGGGCTGGCCTTGCAGTTTCTCACTAGGCTCCACCTTTTAAAGGTCCCACCACCTCCCAACATCACCACACCAAACAGCCAAGCTCCCATCACACCACTCCTTGGAGAACAAACTCAAACCATGTCCAAACTATAATAGTATCAAAACCGTCCCTGTTTCCTCCCATGGGATTGCTTACAGGCACAACTAGCTAGATATTTTACACCATGCTCTGATGGAACTATATAATTATTGCTGCTTCTCTGGTCTGCTGGTGGGACACACACACACACACACACACACACACACACACATGTGCACACATGCACGCATGTGTGCATGCATGTGCGCATGCGCACACATGCCTGTCACAGTATACATGTCCTTCCTCCCCTTCCTTAAAACTTTAGGCTTCTTTTAACATGTGTCCAACCTTTTCCCCTGGGCTCAGCAGGAATATATGAATGCAAAGCTACTAGATTGAGATGGAGGCTCTTCTCTGCACTCAGAACTGTGGATCTTGTGCCTGACAGGCTATTATGGTCTGTTATGGAACAGAGGGGGAGGAAAGCATGGAGGAAGGAAGAAGTGTGAGAAACTGCTGCGGAAGGTTCCTAAGAGCCCCGGGCCAAGGCAGGCGACTGGAGAGACAGGCCCTATAGGAAAATATCTAAACACGATTAGAAATAAGGTTTAAGCTGGGCCTTTGAGTGAAAATTCCTAGAAGTGGAGTAGGGACAGTTCAGGCAGACAAAAGAGATCAAGCAAAGACCCAGGGGTAGAGAAGAGGGAGGAGTAGGTATGTCTTGAAGAGCTGATCGTTCCACTAGGGGTGGGAGGGGGGAAGGTGCTAAAGTATTGGGGGACCACTGCTATTTCCTTGGGACATAGGTGAAGCCCTCACTGGAGATGGTCTCAGGATTATTTTTTACCAACTCGCCTTCTCTCTAGGCAGGAAGACTCCACTAAGTATTTCAATTTTTCATCTCTGGATAAGAAGAGCAGGAAAGAGGCCAAACATGGATATCGTGTAAGAGGCTAGGGATTATTCATGTCTGCCTCAAGTCAAGCTGGAGACAGAGGCCCGTGGGTAGGAAAGAAGAGAGGCTTGGGATTGGGCTGGGGATGGCAGTCATGGTTGGTCTTGATGGTCTGCAGGTGACTAACTTGAGCCAGCGAGATCTGGCCATCAGCGTCACCTTCCGGGTTCCCGTCCTGCTGAACAGTGTGGCTGTCTGGGAAGTGGCTGTGAAGGCCCCTGCACAGGTGTCTGCTCCTTCCCCCGATCCAGCATCTCATCCTGTGGTGCTGCCCTGACTCCTGTCAGGGGCTTGGGTATTCTTGTGTAGTTAAGAATTGTTCTCTGCTTGTCTATCTCTCCCCCCCCACCCTCAATCTATCTCTCTCCCCGCTCCCTCTCTCTCCCCAGAGTCTCCCCTGTGTGTCAGAGAGGCAACTTCCTCAACATCCTGACTTCTTGACTCAGATTGCAACAAATTCTGTACTCGTAAGAATGACCCCAAGGACCCAGGCCACATTAGGACATTCGGAGGGGTGGGGATGTGGGGCAGGGGAGGCCAGGCACTGGTGGCTCATGCTTGTAATCCTAGCTACTCAGGAGGTTGAGATCTAAGGATCATGGTTGGAAGCCAGCTTGGACAGGAAAGCCTGTGAGACTCTTAATCTCCAATGAACCACCAGAAAACTGCAAGTGGCACTGTAGCTCAAAGTGGTAGAGTGCTAGCTTTGAGTGAAAAAGCTTCAGAGACAGCATCCAGGCCCTGGGTTCAAGCCTCACAACCGACAAAACAAAACAAAAAAAACCTTCTGGATTTTCAGCATTACGCAATCATCTTGTGATTGTTCACCAGTTTCCCTACTGGAATCGGCAGCCTTTATTGTTCTGTGCCAGATCCTCCCTCTGGTCCACCATGGCTTCTCTGTCTCCAGGACTGCTCCATTGCGGAGTGTGTGACGTTCCGTTGTGACATCCCTTCCTTCGGCATCCAGGAGGAGCTGGACTTTGTCCTGCAGGGCAACCTCAGCTTTGACTGGGTCAGCCAGGTGTGTACACCTCGGCCCTGATCCATGCAGGACCATCCTCAAGTCAGGACGGTCCTGGAGCTCCCTGCTTGGTCCCCCAACATCCAGTTCCCCAGCTCCCCTCTCCCCCCTTGGCAGACATTGCAGAAGAAGGTGTTGGTCATGTCGGTGGCTGAGATCACGTTTGACACGTCTGTGTATTCCCAGCTCCCAGGACAGGAGGCGTTTTTGAAGGCCCAGGTAGTTAGTGCCTCTGTGGTGGGCAATGCCCAGGCTGGAGAGGGGCTCCTGCTGTGTGGTGCTGATTGGGGGATTCTCAGACCCAGAGGTAGGAGGTGGGAGGCGGGCACCTGGCAGGACAGTTGTCCCTATATGGATGAATGCTTTTGCATCTCAGCCCTGGAGCAGGCCCTGGAAGGAGAGGAAGGGAGGGGCCTAAAGGCTGGGCACTTGGGGAAGCTGAGCTGTCAAGAGGTCTGATGTTTTTGGCTTTCAACTCAGATGGAGACAGTGCTAGAAGAAGTTAAGGTCTACCATCCCATGTTCCTCATGGTGGGCAGCTCCGTGGGTGGGCTGCTGCTACTGGCCCTCATCACAGCTGCCCTGTACAAGGTGAGTGTTTTAGCCCACTCCCAACCCCAGCCCTGCCACAAGCAGGAGAGGAGAGGCGGAGGACACCATCTATGATGTCAGGCAGGCTGAAGTACCCCCAGTTTTCATTTTCTGCCAGTGCTGGCACTTAAACTCAGAGCCTGGATACTTCCACTTGAGCCATTTCCGGCTTTGTGGTGGCTCACTGGAGATAAGAGTCTCACAGACTTTTCTGCCCACATTGGCTTCACACCCTGATCCTTAGTCCTCAGCTTCCTAAGTAGCTAAGATTATAGGCGTGAGCCACTGAAGCTGGCTAAAGCATGTATTTGCCTCTTTTACTTCCAACTTAATGCTCAGCAAGTTACTTGATTTCTCTCTGAATCGATTTCTCTTTTTTGAAGGGGCAAATAAGAATTACTGTGTTGAGGATTTAGCTAAGTGGAAGAGCAGTTGCCTGGCAAATGCAAGGCCTTGAGTTTGGTCCTCAGCTGTGGCAAAACAAACTTCAAAGATGGGCTGAAACGTGACAGCAACTCAGTCAAGGAAACCTGCCTGTCTATGGAAGTTCTGCTTTTCTCTTTTTAGGGATTGAGGGTATAACTATTGTACCATGCATGACACACAGTAGGTCTCAGTGAACATTCTGATGACACACTAAGCTAGTGCAGTTCCCTCCCCTTCCTCTCCTTTAGCATCTTCCTGCTCTCTTACCCTACATTTCTCCTTGACTTCCTTTCATAGTTTGGTTTCTTCAGACGTCATTACAAAGAAATGCTGGATGTCAAGACAGAAGACTCAGCCTCATGCACTGGAGAGGATGTTAGTTGTGAGGAGGCCCCAAATCTGCCTTCTTCCTGATGGTCTATTTTCCTGTTTATCTCTACCTCTGGGGCTGGTCTTTTTCTCTCCCTTTGAATCTACTTCTATTGAGAACAACTTTTTCATAGATCTGGACTGGTGTGAACAATCTCTCAGGGGCTAGGCCCCATGCTCAAGGAGTTAAACGATTGCTGTGTTTGTGTCTGTGAGTCAGACTTCCTCAGTGACGAGACGTGTATGTCAGTATAGGTGTTCATATGTGATAGAACTGTCACACAACGCTTTACAACACATTTTCCTTGTCTGGAACAGCTTGAACACAGGGATCCGAGCACTGCTCTAGGAAAGAGTTGGAGGAATCTACTTATGGGTTGGAAGAAAGTAAGAAAAGTCCTCTCACTTTCTCATACTTGGGGCTAAAGCACATCTTTTCTTGCTGATGCAGTAAGTGGGGGGGGGGGAGAGATCAAAGAAGTGTATGTGTGTGTAGGGGGTGAATGTGAATGATGTAGCACACCAGTCCTAGGATGTGAACAGAATACCCAGAGCTCATTTGAACTAGTGCCCTCCCCCGACCCCTCATCTTTTTCTTATGCCAGTACTGGGGCTTGGGTGCTGTCCCTTAGCTTTTCCATGCAAAGCTAGTGCTCTGCCGCTTGAGCCACAGCTGCACTTCTGGCTTTTTTGCTGGTTAAGTGCAAATAAGTTTCACAGACGTTTCTGTCTGGGCTGGCTTTGAAGCTAGATCCTCAGGTCTAGTCTCCTTCTTGAGTAGCTGGGTTTACGGGCATGAGCCACTGGCGCCCAGATTAAATGAGGCTCCCAGAAGCCAGGCAGGAGAACCAGGCTTTTAGAAAAGAGCTGGTGATTTCCAAACTAATAGAGTCATAGGTATAGGCCTATGAAGTCTTGCTACTTCTCTGGAGGAGGACTCTGAGATTTCTCAGGAACTGACAGGCTTAAGTGACTCAGCGTCGGTGAAAGCCCAGGGGAGAGTCCATTGTTAACCGAGGGAGCCAGGCCCGCCCACCGGCCGGGGGTCCGCCCCTCCACATCCCCGCCTGGAGGAGACGGGCTCGGTGCCCCCGCCCCGCGCGCATGCGCCGCGCGCATGCGCCGCTCCGCGCCGGGCCCCGCCCGACCCCTGGGAGGCGCCAGAGCGCACGAAGCGTCCACCTCTTTATTGGGCTGGAGACTGGCGGCGGGAGCTCAGGGATACTCGTAGCCGGTGGGCAAGGGGTTGACACGGGGGTTGTGGAAGAGCGTGTGGTTGCCGTCTCCCCAGGCGTAGCGCTGCGGAGAAGGGAGACGGACAGCGAGGGGTCAGCGCTCATCTATCCGCAACCCGAGCTCCGCACCCACCTGCCCGCGCGTCCCCGCGCCCCGCCCCGCGCGTCCCCGCGCCCCGCCCCCGCGCCCCGCCCCCGCGCCCCGCCCCCGCGCCCCGCCCCCGCGCGTCCCCGCGCCCCGCCCCGCGCGTCCCCGCGCCCCGCCCCCGCGCCCCGCCCCCGCGCCCCCCGCGCCCCGCGCGTCCCCGCGCCCCGCCCCCGCGCGTCCCCGCGCCCCGCCCCCGCGCCCCGTCCCCGCGCCCCGCCCGCGCGCCCCGTCCCCGCGCGTCCCCGCGCCCCGCCCCCGCGCCCCGCCCCCGCGCCCCGCCCCCGCGCGTCCCCGCGCCCCGCCCGCGCGCCCCGTCCCCGCGCCCCGCCCGCGCGCCCCGTCCCCGCGCGTCCCCGCGCCCCGTCCCCGCGCCCCGCCCCCGCGCCCCGCCCCCGCGCGTCCCCGCGCCCCGTCCCCGCGCGTCCCCGCGCCCCGTCCCCGCGCCCCGCCCCCGCGCCCCGCCCCCGCGCGTCCCCGCGCCCCGCCCCCGCGCGTCCCCGCGCCCCGTCCCCGCGCCCCGCCCCCGCGCCCCGCCCCCGCGCGTCCCCGCGCCCCCGCCCCGCGCGTCCCCGCGCCCCGCCCGCGCGCCCCGTCCCCGCGCCCCACCCCCGTGTGTCCCCGCGCCCCGCCCCTGCGCCCCATCCCCGCGCGTCCCCGCGCGCGCGCCCGTACCTTGGTGCGGATGCGCAGGTGGTGGTAGGGGATGAACTCGGGGCGCCCGTGGTGGCCCCCGTGCAGCCAGCAGTTGAGGGAACACAGGGCCACACTGGGCAGTGCCAGCAGGAAGGTCAGGAAGCGCCAGGTATTGGCTGCGCGGGAGGAAAGGCAAGGGAGAAGTTGGCAACCATCGGTCTGCAGGACTGTGTGCGCGCATGCGCCGGTCCTGGGCCTGAACTCGGGGTCTGGGGCCGCTGTCCCTGAGCTTCTGTGCTCAAGACGGGCTGGCACTCTACCGCTGGAGCCACACAGTTCCGCTTCTGATGTTATTTATTAATTTATCTATTTGGTGGTTAATTGGGAACAAGAGCCCCAGGGATTCTTCTACTCCGGCTGGCTCAGATCTCAGCCCACTGAGTAGGATCACACGAGTGAGCCACTGGCACCCAGCTAGGACAGAGGGGACTTGCCAGTGTGTGAGGGGGCCACACTCATGGGAAGGCAAAGAGGAGTGAGGGAACAGATAGACAAAGCCAGTGAGTCACAGGATCGATCCCCAGCCCTCACTCACCTCCAGCCCCGCCATGGTCGCCCTTGGCTGCGCTCGCCAGGCCTCGGCTCAACGACCTCAGAGGCAGAGCCATTGCGGTGGAGAAGCTATGATGGATCTCTGCCCTTTTGCTCTCCTTCACCCAGACCTCGCCTCCCCCCGCCCCCCTCCTTCTTGAGCCAATCACCTGCTGAGTGCACCATGTGGATGGCTATTTTTAGGGGGAGGGGGATATGTTCTATATTTAAAATGGGGCCTGGCTAGCGGGAGGTCCTCTCCAGAAACACTGCACTGTGCCTTTTATTCCAGTAGGGGAATATTTAAAGTACACTTGGCAATTATTTTTAATAGTTGTGGGTTAACTATCTTATTTAAGTCTCTATTCCCAGTGACTGAAGCACTTGCTCATGCACCCAGAACCTTTCACTCAGGTCATCTGTACCTTTCTAAGCTGATTGTGGTGGTTTTTTTATTTTTCCTGCAATGAGGTTCAACCCATGCTAGGCAAGCACTAAGCTACCTCCCTTGTCAGGGTCTTGATAGACCCTCCTGCCTCAGCCTCTGAAATGTGGAGCTTACTCGGGTATAGAACCATGCCAGGCTTGGTTTTGTCTTAATTCCCTCTGTGTAGAGACAGTGCAGTCTTTGTACCCAGCACAGTTTTTTAAAAATATAATTCTATTGTTATTATTAAGGTGTTGTAGAGAGGTTTACCATTTCCTATCACTGTTTTAATAAGCTCTTTCTTTCACAGTTAGCTAGTTGAATTGCTGGAAAAGCTTCGGGTTTCTAGAAGCTCAGTTTGTTCTTTACTATGGGAAAACTGAAGAACAAACCCACTAGTGTGCAGTAAGCCAAGCTTTTCAGACATGCTGTAGACAGACCACTCCGTGTGTTTCTCTCTGCTTCTTCCTTGATATATTATATACTATGACCACATTGCCCAAAGCAAATGGCAATCACATCGAGTAGCCTATTAACTGTAAAGTTTGTTTATGAGTCCCACTAGGACAGAATGAACATCTGAGATTGGAACTATCCCAAGACAATTCCATGATGGTAAAGGCCGTGCGGACTGGAGATTCAGAGAGGATTCGGAGGAGCCAGCCATGATGACAGGCTTATCCCTCTGCTCTGGGAACAACTTAGGAACTTATTATGGCGGACAGCACATCATTATTCTAGGTGTCATCTGTCCAACAGATCTGTAAGAGAAAAACTTTTAACTGTTTATTGGAGGCCAATCACGCAGGAGCTCGCCAGGCATCCACGCCAGCCTCAGTTATGAGGAGCTCCATTTCCGGCCCGCCCTGCTGATTGATTCATCCCCTTTCACCTCCCCCCCCCAGTCCCCTCCCCCAAGCCGCCCTCACCACTCCGATTCCCTCCCTCCAAGGGGCGAGGTGGTCAGAGCAGCGAGCGCCCCCAGTCCTGACACCCGGGAAAGGGTTAGCTCTGAGCGCACCCCGTGACTGCTCCACGTCGGTGAAGGCTTGCCCCGCCGCCTGGATCCAGTTGCATCACCCGCAAGAGTGACAACTCTGCGGGGTGGGGCAGGGCGGGCCGGGCTGAAGGGTACAGTCCGCGCATGCGCATGTCCCGCCTCCTTTCTCTACACTAGTGGATTCTTGCTGCGCTGGAAACCGGACTGAAACAAAGGGACCCGCTGAGAGCCGGACGACTCTGCCCCCTAACGGCCGGAGGCCGTGCGCGTTCCCAGGTGGAAAGCGTGGGAAAAGGAAGCTTAGGTGGAAAGGCCCTAACTTCTGGCACAGAATTTAAGAACACACACACACACACACACACACACACACAGCATCACATTATCACGACTGCGGAGTAATCTGGTGTCCTCTGAAGTTTTGCACTAGAGATGAGTGCCTCACCCCGTCCCAGCTCTGCCAGCCACACTTTTGCCCTGGCACGGGAAGCAGACCACATCTGGAGAGAGCCGAGTTTTGCCACCAGCTCCAAGTAGCTTTGGGCCATTTACGTCCCTCTCTGAACTCAGCTGGCCTTGTAAAATTAGGAATTCAACCATATGATATTAAAAAAAGCAATTTTCACAGGGTGGAACAAAATAACACAGAATATTGAAACAGTGGAATACTATATGACACTAAAAAACAAATTGCTCCAGCCACATGCAGGTGCTGGGGAAAACCTTGCAAATACTGTCATAGAAACAAGAACAGAAGATGTTTAGTCAATTCTATTTCTGTAAGATTCAAAAATCAAACATCCTTTAAAATTCTTCAAATGGTTAAACACAGTTAACACATTCCAGTCTTTTCACTCCTATATACTCAAGAGAAGTTAAAAAACAAAAAACATACTCCAGGTTGGAAGGGGTGCAGGAACTCTAAGTGCCTATCCAGCTGTTTCCTCCTGAAGATTACAGTACCCAGCCTGCCACTGGACTGGTCTGAAGTTCCCACTGTCTAGGCCACTGAATGGAAGGGAACAACCACCTTTTTTTTTTTTTTTGCCAGTCCTGGGTCTTGAACTTAGGGCCTGAGCACTGTTCCTGAGCTTCTTTTGCTCAAAGCTAGTAGTGCTTTACACCTTGAGCCACAGCACCACTTCCAGTCTTTTTTGTTTATGTGGTATTGAGGAATTGAACCCAGAGCTTCATGCAGGCAAGGCAAGAAATCTACCACTAAGCCCATTCCCAGCCCCAACCATCCATTCTTGAGCTGTTTGTCTGCAGACACTTCAGGAAAATGGAAAGTTGATGGAAAATACATATTCCACCAAAAAACTTGTACGTGAATATTCTTAGCACTATTCATAATAGCTCCAGAGTGGAAATAATCATGCTACGATTTGAATATAGAATGTTCATGAGAGTCTCCTGTATTGGGGGCTTGTTTGTAAAGTGGTAGAGCACCTGTTTAGGGAACACAAAGCCCTGAAGTTCTTTTGGGAAGTGATAGGTCCTGAGGGCTCTCACCCAATGAATGGATTAACCCCTGGATGGGTTTATGATATGATGGTGAGAGGTGATGAAGGGAAGGAGGTAGCCTGCTGGAATAGGTCACTTGGGGTGTGTCCTGGAATGCTATATCTTGTCCTCAGCCCCTTCTCGTCCTCTGCTTCCTGGCTACCTGGATATGAGCTGTTACTGCGCTGCTACGCCTTCCCTATGATGTTGGATGTAAGAAGAAGAAGAAGAAAAAAGGTCTTTCCTCCTTCAAGATTTTTTTTTTTGGGTCGGTCGTGGGGCTTGAACTCTAGATTTGGGTGCTGACCCTGTGCTCTTCAGCTCAAGGCAAGTGCCCTCCTACTTGAGCCACAGTGCCACTTCTGGTTTTCGAGTGGTTTTCCTGCCCGGGCTGGCTTTGAATCGTGATCCTCAGATCTCAGCCTCCTGAGTAGCTAGGATTATAGGCGTGAGCCACCGGTGCCTGCCCTCCCTAAAGATTTTTTTTGGGGGGGTTTGGTCGTGGGGCCTGAACTCTGGGCGCTGTCCCTCAGCTCTTCAGCTCAAGGCTAGCGCTCTACCACTTGAGCCACAGCGCCACTTCCGGCTTTTTTCTTTTTGCTTATGTGGTGCTGAGGAATTGAACCCAGGGCCTCAGGCATGCAAGGCAAGCGCTCTACCACTGAGCCACCTCCCCAGCCCCCTCCCTAAAGATTTTTAACTCAGGTATTTTGTCACAGGAAGGAAAAACCTAATACAACCCACCTTGGTGCTCTCGCACCTCACTTTCTCAGTGTGCTGTCTCAGGCCTAATGACTGTTCACAGGCTTGGACAGTGAGGCTGCCTCTGCTCGCAGCTCAGGGCACAGGGAAGGCTGGGCAAACACCTGCTGGTCAAACCCCTCCCTTCTGCTTCCCTTCTGGTCAGGATCTATTTTCTGCAATTGGAGAGGAGATAGAGCCCAGGCATTCCTGTTCTAATGGGAGAGGTTAGCATCCATCTCTTTAAAGTAACTGTGCAAACCTATGTGACTCCCAAGTCCACCTGTACCACCTATGTAACACCCATTTGCAGTTTCAGATTTTGCAGGAGTGATAACACTCTGTATTGACTCGATGGGACCACGAGTAAGCAGAAAAACAAGATCTGATTATAGCCATTATTTATTGAGTGCTGACTTTACATGCTGGGCTGTGGCTTCCAACTCAAAATTGGGTTGTTTCTTTAAAGTGCTGTTGATAGGAGCCTATCAGGAGCCCTTTCCTTGTCAATGAAGGAATGCCCAGGGGCATTTGCTGCTCCTCAGTTTTAGGAGACGAGTGCATTAGATGTCACCAGATGAGACCTCTTTTCCAATGCCAGCATCATTCACGGTTACTGGTCCTGAGTCCATCACTTTCACAGGACAAGCTACCCCAGGGCTCTAACCTCAGAGGAGCTGGTGCATGAGTTGCCACAGTGCTTTCTGAAACTACCATCACAGGCCTTCTAGACCTGAGGAAGAGAGGAAATGAGGTTTGCAGTCACCCCCAATTCAGATGCTTCAGGAAGACAGGTGTATCCATGGGGTCTTTGCCACAGCCTGGTGAGGTAGCTTACGTCCATTTACAGATGAAACCTGAGGCCCAGAAGAGGCAAAGGTCACACAGCTAGGAAGAGACAAGTCTGGACACTCCTGGAAGCTGAGGTTGGAACACTTGATATTCCTCTTCAGCCTCAACTTTGTGGGGGTGTATTACAGGTACAGTAAGCCTGAGGAAAAATGGCCAAATAGGGCCAGGGGGAGGCCCAAAGAACAAAATGGATTAATGGTGAAGGACTGTCCTTCAGACAACTCACTCTTCAGCCTCAAAAGGGCTAGTCTGTGCCTCTTTCAATCACACAGACAAGTGTGTGGCATAGCCTCATACCTTGGCCTCTATTCTCAAAGATTAAGTGGTGTTTTGGGAAGTCTCTCCATGGTTCCCACATATACGAGGTTTCACCAGTAGAAACACATTGGGTGGATAGCCCTCCTCCAGACTGAAGGGCCCTGTTCAGACCCTAATAGTCATTCTTTACTGTATTGACAGGAAAAAAACCAAAAACTGGGGAGGGACACTGTGAGAGAAGAGACAAAGGGCAGATGACAAGTCTTAGGCTTCTGCTCTGTCTAGAAATGCCGTAAAGTGTTTCCTGAGCTCAGCAGACCAGGCTCCTGGTCCTTTGCTTTGGCCCTGCGTTCCATCATCTTAGCTTCAACAGTAGAGATGGGGCCATCTTGACAACTTCCATGATAAGCCCAAGTTCAAATACTCTGCTACCCTCTGCCAGGGCATTGCTTCCTTGCTGTCCCCTCTGAATGTCAGGAATGCCCACCTCCAGCCTCCTGCCTCTGCGGGCCTCACAAGAACCCATGGGCTCTAATCTCATTTCTCCAGCAAGAAACAGCTGTTGCTCTAGGCTATGAAGACACTTGCTTATCAGTTGCAGATGTCCCACATCCCCTACGCCAAGAGTGGATGCCTCTAACCATCAGCAAACTCTGCAGCTGGCAGACACGTGCTATAGCCTCACCGTACAGGCTTTAAAAAAAAAATCTGGAATTTCAAAGCAGTGATCATAGATTTAGTGTTGAGTCCTGCCTGGGAAAGATGCAGAGGCCTTCCAGCATCCCAACATCATTCTAAATCAACAGCCCCAGAGGAGAGGGGACCAGAAAGGAGGTTTGCTTAGAGATCCTGGTCCTCTTGAGGACTGGATCAAAAGTGGAACTGAAACTTGATCTAATACTGAAACCAGGGATATTAGCAGACACTGACACCCTGGTGTGTCCATTGGTGCTGGCCCAGGTTAGGGCTGTGGGCAAAGGGTACACTGTAAAGGCAGACCTGGGGTTTGCTACTTTGGATCACCTTATGGATAAGCAGGTAAAAACTCTGGCTGAGACTTGTCATATTTGCTGCTAATGTAAGTCTTCTGGCCTGTGTGAATATTAGTAGTGCAGCAGATTTGAACTGCCCACAAAACTCCTGTTGCAGTCAGGGCATCAGTGGGCTTCCCATCCATGTGTAAATATTGGTGTTTAAGGAGTCTGAGGCTATGGTAGAAGCTTTGCTCACATTCAGGGTTGTTCACCCAGGTGGATGCCCTGGTATTCGGGCTCACTAAAGCTAGGACAATATTTAGGACCTCTGAAGGGCCAGTGTTCCATTGTGGATACGCTAATACCACAGCTAGTGTGAACTTTTGAAGTTCTTGACACATTGGCAGCAATCACAGGGCTTCTCACCAGTGTGGGAACACTAGTACTGGAGTAGGTAGCAGTTGTGCTCAAAGCTGTCCCCACCAAGCACAGAGATAAGGAGGCTTCTCACATCTGTGCAAACACAGGTGCTTCAACAGATTAGGGCTAAGGTTAAACTCTTGCCACAGTTCCCACAGCGGTCAGGCTTCTTGCTGGTGTGCACCAGCTGACATTTAACCAAGTCAGCCACAGCTGCAGAGCTGTGGCCACAGGCCTCCCCATACTTGATGCACTCATGAGGTTGGATGAGATTTGGAGCTAAGGTTGAAGCAAGACCCATTTTGGGAAGGGTCTTTCACCAGTGTGTACCTGATGGTGCTTAGCCAGACCTATGTCAGACTTTGAGCAATGGTTAAGAATTGGCCTCACTGCAGTTGCTTTGATGGTAGATGAAGTCTGGGAGACAGGCTGTATAGTTAGCCCACAATTCCAGCACATGGAAGACTCTGGGGACTGCAGGATAGCTGGTCTTGGCTGGGGCCTACATAGATGCTGTAAGCTTTGGCAGTACTTCCTGGGAGGCTGGCCGGCCGGTGCTATACTTAGAAGGCCACACCACTCAGGTGGCACAACTTTACAATCCAGGGACGAGCTGGAGACTCTTGGAAATCCTGATGTCTCTTTTTCTCGCAGCTCTGCCCCTGTCAGGGATGCTTTCCCAGTTACTTCTGCCACGACTGGAGAGAACCTCGCTTCCTAGATACCAGCTACTCAAGTTCTCAAGTATAGACAGGACGAGGGACACACTTGGACCAAGAGGTTAGCACCGGAAACGGAAAGGTCCTCAAACCCCTGCCGTTCTAGAAAGTAGCGGCGACCGTTTTCAGTAGGTTCAACCCTGTCATTCTGAGAGTTCTTTATCAGCAGCTGCTGTTAGGGAACTTGCCAGTTTTCAGGCCTAGGCTTCTGGGAGTCTGTCTGTCGGCCTGGACTTCGGGGACCTCCCCATCATCCCTTGGGGGAATAGCCACGCTTGACTGGAAGAGGAAAGGGCTAGATGGGGGGCGGAACAGGCAAGTCATCCGAAGCAGCACCGCAGGCCGACGGCCTGGTCGGGCCTTGGGAGGCGTCAGTCCACGTCGAGGCCCTGGGAAGTTTCCCACCCGTCCTAACAATTTAGGCGTGTTAGGCCGGATGCTGACTACATAATCCCACCTTAGGCTTGCACAACGACTAGATAAGGACCATTCAAAGTTCCGGGATCCAGGGCTGACAGCGGCGGCGCTATTTAAGAAGAAGCAACCGCTAGAAGCCGCCAGGCCACTCCCCTCCGCTCCAGTTCCGCATCCTCACAGAGAAGCGGCCGGGGCGCGGGGCGGAGCCGGAGGCCCGAGCCAAGATGGCGGCGGCGAAACCAACCCTCACCGACTCGCTCTCGTTCTGCCTCGCGCAGCTCACAGCGGCCGCCGGGGAGGGTCCGGGTCGGGCCAAGGACTCCACTACCAACGAGACGCCCCTGGGCCGCGCGCTCTTAGCTCTTCGCACGCGCCACATCAAGTCAGCCGGGGGAATCGAGCACTTCCGGGCGCGCGGCGGGCTCCGCCCACTTCTCGCGCTGCTACGGCGAGCGGCGGCCGCGGACCACGCCCCGTCCCCGGCAGAACCCGGCTCCGCCCCCTCGCCGACGGAGGCCGCTGTTGCTGCTGGTCCCGCCCCTTCCTCTGGCCCCGCCCACTCCGCTATGTCCTCGTCGACGCCTTCGCCGCCAGTGCGCCTGCGCAAGACTCTGGACTTGGCGCTCAGCATCCTAGCCAACTGCTGCACGGAAGGGGCGTGCCGAGCTGAAGTGCGCAGACTCGGAGGCATTCTCCCTTTGGGTAAGTGCTCCGCCCCCATTCCTAGAAAGGTTCCATGCCCGCCCCTCCCTCCCGGGCTGGATCTGTCTGGGAGTTCTTTGTCATCGTCTGGGATCTCGAGCGAGCGTGGTGACGGCAATGTGCAGCCACCTCTCAGGGCGGCACACTCCCCATGACGTCACTACTGTCCAAGCCTTCCCCATCCAGATCACTACAGCCATTATCTAGGTATTGGCACCTCCTTGTATCTGGGCAGGTAGAGCTCACAGGGCTGTTTGATGAACTTTCGGATCCTTAACCCCTATTATGATGTTCATAAGCAGACACTCAATGCCTGCTTTTTATATAGATCTGTGCAAAACTCCACTTGGATGAGCTGCAGGCCAGGGAGTGTAGTAGTTTCAAAAAGTTCAGATAATGATGCTGTGGGCTATATCCCTCCAAGATAGAATCCCTTATGAAATGAGATAATACTAGCAACGTTGCAAAATTGGAATGGGGCTAAAATAAAATACAAATAGAGCACGCACAAATTCTAAGCAGAGAGCTGGAAATTTTGAGTTACTGAAAAACTTGCACAGTAAGGACAAATTCCAATTTTTAGCGGGGCATTGGTGGCTCACACCTGCAATTCTAGTTACTCGGGAGTGTATGATCTGAGGATCAGTGTTCCAAGCCAGCTAGGGTAGGAAAGTCCATGAGACTCTGATCTCCAACTAACAACCAAAAAGCAAGTGCAGCTGTGGCTCAAGTGGTAGAATGATAGCCTTGAGCACAAAAGCTCAGGGACAGTGCCCAGGCCCAGACTTCAAGCCCCAGGACCAGTGCACACAAAATTGCCTATCAAAAATTGATTCCCAGTACATTGCCTGCCCTCTGAAATTATGCATTTTGAAAAAAAACCTTAAATGAAATATGAACATATTTAACACTTTACATTAAAATACATCTGAACTATATTTGGCACATTTCCAAGTCAATAATAATTTTTTGTACCCCTCTGGGACTTGAATTCAGGGCCTTGGTGCTGTCTCTGAGCTTCTTTTGCTCAAGACTCTATCACTTGAGCCATAGCTCTACTTCTGGCTTTTTGGTAGTTAAGTAGAGATAAGAGACTTTCCTGCCCAGGTTGAACCATGGTCCTTGGATCTCAGCCTCCTGAGTAGCTAGGATTATAGGTATGAACTATTGGGACCTGGCTTTAAATTATGGTTTTACTTGTGTTTAACCAACCTCATTCTGTGTGTGTGTGTGTGTGTGTGTGTGTGTGTGTGTGTGTGTGTGTGTGTAATGGGGCTTGAACTCAGGGCCTTAGGCTCTCACTTGGCTTTTTTGCTCAAGGCTGATGCTCTACATTTGAGCCATACCTCCGCTTCTGACTTAAAAAAAATTTTTTTTTTAATTGGAGATAAGAGTCCCATGGACTTTTCTGCCTAGGTTGGCTTCAAAGTGAGATCATCAGATCTCAGCCTCCGGAGTAGCTAGAATTACAGGTGTGAGCCACCTGCACATGGCCCTGGCCTTATTCCCTTTTTAAAGCCCCGTGTGAGCCAGGCACTGGTGGCTCATGCCTGTAATCCTAGCTACTCAGGAGGCTGAGATCTGAGGGTCAAGGTTTGAATCCAACCTGGGCAGGAAACTCCATGAAACTCTTATTTCCAATAAACTACTCAAAAAAACAAAAAAACAAAACTGTAAGTAGTGCTGTGGCTCAAGTGGTAGAGTGCTTATCTTGAGCAAATGGGACAGTTCCCAGGCCCAGAGTTCAAACCCCAAGACCGGCAAAAACAAAAACAAATGCAAACAAAAACCCTATGTGCTTTCACATTTAACTCTTTACCCCTTGGTCAGGCATTTGAGGCCCTTCCTAAGGTCAGAGGAGGCATTCCCTTTTGCAAAGTTTTTGCAAAGACTGCCTCCAATTCCTGGTTAACATCCCTACCTATCATCCTTCTAGCAAATCACCCACCTGCTGAGCAGCTAGACCCTGCTCACAGGTTAGCATTTTCTGAAAGCCATTCCTGCCCCTCTAGGTATATTCTTGAGGTGATTTATAAGGGGGGGCGGGGTTTAGAACCCTTAAGAGACTAAACTCCTCTTGCAGTGACCATTCTTCAGTGCGTGAAGACAGACAGCATCCAGAATCGAACTGCTCGTGCACTGGGGAACTTAGCCATGGAACCCGAGAGCTGTGGGGACATCCACTCTGCCGGTAAGAAGGCCATGAGCATGGGCTTGAGATGGGAGGAGGGCTTCCGTATGCCCTTGCTTACTCTCTGTCCTTCCCTTTCCTCTCCAGGTGCTGTTCCCTTACTCGTTGAGAGTCTGACAGCCTGCCAGGACTCACAATGCCTGCAGAGTGTGGTGCGTGCCCTCCGCAACCTGGCAGACTCCCCCCAGCACCGCCTGGCCCTGGCACAGCAAGGAGCCATCCGCCCACTGGCTGAACTCCTGGCTGCTGCTCCGGATCCTGCCCTGACCTGGGGCCTGGTCCGCGCCCTCTTGGAACTCAGCCGAGGTTGTTCACGGGCCTGTGCCGAGCAGCTCAGCCTGGGTGGAGGACTGGGTCCCCTTGTCAACCTGGCTTCTCATCCCAAACGGGCAATACGTGAGGCAGCCATCTTGATCCTCGCCAACCTGTGTGCCCAGGGCCTAGTACGGCCTGCTTTGGGCAATGCCGGTGGGGTGGAGGTGTTACTTGGTGAACTCCGACGGCGCCGGAGCCCTACTGGGGCCAACCCAGCTTCCCAGCAGCCTTTGGTGCGAGCTGTATGTCTCCTGTGTCGGGAGGCCATCAACCGGGCCCGGCTGCGGGATGCTGGAGGTTTAGAGCTGCTGATGGGTCTGCTGCGGGACCCTCGTGCCAGCGCCTGGCATCCACGCGTTGTGGCCGCCCTTGTGGGCTTCCTTTACGACACTGGGGCCCTAGGCAGGCTGCAGGCTCTGGGACTTGTACCTCTTTTGGCTGGACAGCTGTGTGGTGAGGGTGGAGATGAGGAAGAAGAAGGGAGAGAAGCAGCTTCCTGGGACTTTCCTGAGGAACGGACGCCTGAGCGGGCGGAAGCAGGAAGCTTTCTCAGTCTCAGGTATGTCCTTGCCTTAGAGTCTGGGAGGGTAGGGTGAACTTTGGGGATTCTGTCTGCTCTGATGCTCTTCCCTACCCACCCCCTGTATTATGACTTACTGAGACTAATTAACTCTAAGTCCTGATTCCTTCTTTTTCCACTTTCTAGTCCCCCCTTACACATAACTTACCCTCCCTCTGGTCTGCCTATTTTTGGCTGGTTGTGGGGCTTGAACTCTTGAGCTCTTCAGCTCAAGGCGAGCACTCCATCACTTGAGCCACAGCACCACTTCCGGTTTTCTGGTGGTTCATTGGAGATAAGAGTCTCATGGGCTTTTCTGCCTGGGCTGGCTTTGAACCACGATCCTCAGATCTCAGCCTCCTGAGTAGCTAGGATTACAGGTGTGAGCCACCGGTGATCGGCTTGGTCTGTCTGTTGACGTTGCCTCTGCCCCCTCAACCTTGACCTCTGGGCTCTAGACAAGTTCAGGAGAAACTTTTTTTTTGGAGGGTCCGGTTGGGGGCCTGAACTCTGGGCCTGGGTGCTGTCCCTCAGCTCTTCAGCTCAAGGCTAGCACTCTACCACTTGAGCCACAGTGCCACTTCCGGCTTTTTTTTTTCTTTTTGCTTATGTGGTGCTCTTCCAGTCACAGTGAGGGCTTTGATCAGCGCCCTGTTTAAACTCTCAGGCCAGGTGCTGATGGGTCACACCTGTAATCCTAGCTACTCAGGAGGCTGAGATCTGATCTGAGGATTGCCAGCCTGAGCAGGAAAATCTCTGAGACTCTTATCTCCAATTAACCAGCAAAAAGCTGGAGGTAGAATTGTGGCTTGAGCAGTTGAGTGCCAGCCTTGAGCAAAAAAAACCAAAAAAAGGCTCAGAGACAGCCTCAGGCTCTGAATTCAAGCCCTAGGACTGGCACAAACAGCAACAACCAAAAACCCCACTTCAACTCTCAAAGGGCTGGAGGCATGACTCAGCAGGAGAGCACCTGCTTAAGCAAGTGTGAGGCTCCAAGTTCAAATCCCAGTATTGCCAAAAAAGGAAAAATCAAACACCTTCCGTTTCTCTGTCCCTCACTTAGGTTTTTCCCTATCTGCCCTATATCTATCCTCTGTTTGTACTCTCTGCAGGTCCTGGCTGATTTCTGAAGGCTACACTTCGGGGCCTGGTGACATCTCTCCAGACTGGTCTCCAGAGCATTGTACGCTGCCGGAGGCCCGGGAGCAGACCAGCGCCACCCCTAGCCCAGCCTCCAACTCAACCTGCACGCCCCGCACACTGCGTACACCACGCACATTGCGCACACCGGGCCGCAGCCCTGTGGCTGCAGCCGAAGAGCCTTGGGGCCGAGAGGGGCCAGCGCTTTTGCTGTTGTCACGCTTCTCCCAGGCTCCAGACCCGAGTGGAGCACTAGTGACCGGGCCAGCGTTATGTGGCCTGCTGGCCTATGTGACAGGTGCACCAGGCCCGCCGAGCCCACGTGCATTGCGCATCCTGGCCCGCCTCACCTGCAACCCTGCCTGCCTTGAGGCCTTTGTGCGCAGCTATGGTGCGGCGCTGCTGCGTGCCTGGCTGGTGCTGGGTGTGGCACCAGATGACTGGCCTTCGCCCCGTTCCCGGACTGTGCGCAGAAGCCAGCACCGAGAACTAGGTACATGGCTATGCAAGAATGGGCATCTTTTTCCTGTGCCTTCTATGGGTCTAGATTCTTGATATCCTGTTCACCTGGCCTGACTTCCTGTTCACCTTGCCCTCCAGAACACTAAGGAATTCAAGTCATGGGGTGTTGGGTCAGGAACTCTTTTCTGCTCACTAACTCAGCATGCAGAGAGAATTGTTCTTTATCCTTTGTCCAAATCTAGAGTTCTGCCTGTCTGCCTGGTGTGTGTGTGTGTGTGTGTATGTCCTCAGATTTTGTGCTAGTGTGCATTGGAGCCACAGCTCCACTTCTGGCTTTTTGGTGGTTAATTGGAGATAAAAGTCTCACAGACTTTCCTGTCTAAGCTGGCTTCGAACCATGATCCTCAGATCTCAGCCTCCTGAATAGCTAGGATTCTGAGTGTGAGCCACCAGCATCTAGCTGTCTGCATGTTTTTTTTACCCACTGTACTCTTGTTCTACATTGTCCTGGCTACCATTCTGGGTACCTTAACCCAGACACCCTGCCCTTCCAGGCCTTAAACCACGTTGGGCATTTCTGCCCTGTGTTTTTGTCCCCTGCCTACAGTACTGTTTCTACTCCTGGATGGAATGGGAGGTCCCTGGAGGTGCACCTGACCTTCCTAACTCCAGCTCTTGATCTCTGGTTCCTAGAATCCTAGCCCCATCCTTCCAGGCCTGGCAGTCACCCCTACTTTCTGGGCCTTTGTTCCTTGCCCTGAGGTTTAACCCCCACCCCCCTTTCTTTGTAAAAGTCAAATAGCCTGTGCTCCCCATCCCAGCTCCCAAGCTGACCTGCTCTGACCCATCGCACAGGTGAGATGCTGCTGCAGAACCTGACCGTACAGGCCGAGTCGCCCTTTGGGGTTGGCGCTCTTACCCACCTGTTACTGTCTGGGAGCCCTGAGGACCGTGTCGCCTGCGCACTGACCCTGCCCTTCATCTGCCGGTGAGGGGGATGAGGGTGGCCTTGTGGAGGGGAGGCCAGGCGGGCAAGGTTGATACTCCACTGCTCGCTCTCGGCTTCTGCTGACAGGTTCCTTTCCCTTGTAGGAAACCCGCTCTGTGGCGCCGGCTCCTTCTGGACCAGGGTGGCCTCCGTCTCCTACTCATGGCCCTCACTCGGCCAGCCCCACACCCGCTTTTCCTCTTCTTTGCTGCAGACTCCCTTTCCTGCCTACAAGGCCTGGTGTCTCCCGTGATGAGCCCAGTCTCTCCCCCTACAGTCGCCGTGGACCAGGACTCACCCTCCCCTTGCCACTATAAGCCTCTGTTGGGCCCAGCTCCCAACCCGGGGCCTGACCTGCATTTCCTCCTGGACTCCGGCCTCCGGCTCCCTGCTCAGCGCGCTGCCTCGGCCACCGCCTCCCCTTTCTTCCGGGCCCTGCTATCTGGCAGTTTTGCTGAAGCCCAGATGGACCTGGTGCCACTGCGAGGCCTGTCTCCCGGTGCAGCCTGGCCCGTCCTGCATCATTTACATGGATGTCGGGGCTGTGGGGCTGCCTTGGGGCCCGTGCCCCCACCAGGCCAGCCCCTCTTGGGCTCAGAGGCTGAGGAGGCCCTGGAGGCCGCTGGCCGTTTCTTGCTGCCTGGGCTGGAGGAGGAGCTGGAAGAGGCTGTTGGCCGCATCCATCTAGGTCCCCAGAGTGACCCAGAGTCAGTGGGTGAAGTGTTCCGCCTGGGCCGGCCCCGACTGGCAGTCCACTGTGTGCGCTGGACCCTGGGGCCAGGGCAGTGTCCGAGGAAGCGGGCCCTGGCTCTTGTGGGGCTGGTGGAAGCAGTGGGTGAAGAGGCTGGGCCCCTAACGGAGGCTTTTTTGGCCGTGGTGATGGGGACCGAGTCAGGGAGCAAGGGTCCCACCCTTGATTGTCAGTGTTCCTCTGAAGAGGGCCCTAGAACAGGCTGGTTATGAAACCCATTCAGAAGCTGCACGGATGTCACCTTCAAGGAATGAAAAGAGACAGAACTGGATCCCAGGGTGATAGTCTGAAGACTTTAATACTACAATGTCAAGGCCTCCAGGGTCTGGGCAGGGGGCAGTGGAGAAGAACAGCACAGGGCTCCAGGTACTTGGCCTAACCCAGCTCTATGGAATTGAAATTAAAACCCTTGGAGTTGGCTGTCCCTGGTGTGTGATGTTTCTGACTTCTTCCCTGTGGGAGTCCTCTCACCTCTCCCCAGCCAGGCAGGGATTTATCCATACAGGGCAGCCTTGGCATGTGAGTTTAATAAGTACTTGTCCATTGGTTCCTGGAGCCCTGGGGTGGGGTGGAGGTCCCAGGCTTCTCCCTTGGGTCCTGGGGGGAAGTCTCCTTCCTACCCACAGCCACTCAGCAGGACACAGCCTTGGTCAGGAATGAGAGGACTACTGAGTGTTAGGGATGTGTAGCTGACGCCTTGCTCTTCTGTCCTGTACCCCTCTGGGGCCATGTTTCTTAATGCTGTCGGTCTGAGGGAGGACTTGATACATTCCTTGGAGGCTCAAAGGGCCTGTCTTAGTCAAATCCAGAGAGAGCCATAGCCCTTGCCAGCCTTCAGGTAAAGGAAAGGCTCACATAGCTTTGATCTCCAAAGCAGGTCTACCTCACCTGGCCTCCTTGATCGCTCAGGTAGCAGTCTGACTTTGAGGAAGAGTCCTGGAACTTGCCAGGGTCTATGTTGGGGAACAAAAGTTGGCACTTGCTGCCACTGTCTTAAAAACTCCTGATGGACTGGGGGATATCCTGGGCTTCAGTAATTAAAAAAAAAAAAAAAAAAAAGAGCTTGCCAGGTGACAGTGGCTCACATCTGTAATTCTAGCTACTCAGGAGACTGAGGTCTGAGGATCATGTTTTGAAGCCAGCCCAGGCAGGAAAGTCTGTGAAACTCTTTATCTCCAATTGGTCACCAAAAAGCCAGAAGTGGAGCTGTGACTCAAGTGGTAGAGTGCTAGCCTTGAGGACAAAAACTCAGGGATAGTGCGTAGGTCCTGAGTTTGAGCCCTAAGACTGGCACAAAATAAATTAAAAAAGCTGCCCACATTACGGACATTCCTGTTGGGGTCCCACAGCTGAGGGCTCAAATCTGTCTACCAGAGTGAGCATATGTTTGTCTCTGCCCATCTCAGAATGTCATGTTTTCACCCTGATTTCTCAGAGTGGTTTGTTACTATGGCTGGATCCCTGTCTGGCTTTCTTCTCTCCGCTCAGTTTGCTGAATAAAACTATTATGGAACTCTCTTGGGCTGTCTCGGTGGTGGGGAAAGGCTTTGTTTCCTGGGCTGGCTGGGGTTTGGCTGCCTGGGACTGCTGTCTGCCTGGGGCTTGGGCCTGGGCTTTGCTGTCCTTGTTCTAGTTGTGTGAATGTCCAGATCTTAGAGTGGGTGGGTAGGTTCACCATGTCTGTCCAGTCTGTCTGGGAGAGATGCCTTTGTGTCTACTATGTACTCCCTCTGGGGATTTCTCTCTGGTTGTCTGCCAGGGTCTCCAGCCCACAGGCTTTGAATCTGGGACATGACAATTCCTTGGAACAGTCTCTCCTGTCCCCAACATTAAAAAAAAAATCAGGGACACTGCCTCTCTCAAGAATGGCCTGGGTGGGACAGGGCTCTGTCTAGGATTGGAGGAGTTTTGTTTTTTTTTTTGGTATGGGGGACAGGGGGGGCGCTCACAGGCAGGGAGGGGCTCTGGAGCTGGGCCTGGGAAAGCCATAACAGACTCTGGCTCTGGCCTCTTGGGGCTCCTTGCAGCGCAGGCCGGGGTGTGGCCGCCACTGGGCAAGCCAGCAGCAAGCGAGCTAGGTTTGGGGTGGGCCCTGGTACTCTCTTTCTTCCACGCCCCCACCCCCGGGTTCCTTCGTTCATCCCCCACCCCCACCCCACCCCATCCCATCCCAGCGGGTCCCCGCTTCCATACATGGTCACGGCCCCGGCTCCCAGCTCCCGGACGTCCCCCGCCCCCGCCCCGCCGGACACGGCCCCCGCCCTGCTCGCCCCGCGCGCAGCCCGCCCGCGCCCCGCCATGGAGGACCTGGGTGAGTGGGGCCCGGCCCGCGGGTCCCCCCAGACCCTCACCACTTCCCCCACGCCTCCCCATCCCGGACCCCTGCTTCTGTCTCTGCCTCCTCTCCCGAATCCACGTCCCCCCTTCCTGCCTCTCCTTTCCTGCCTTTCCTGAGCCGGCCGTTCCTTCCCTTCGTCTCCTCCATCGCTCCTCCAGCCTTGGCTTTGGCAGAGGTCCCCCCACCCCCACCCCCCTGGGCGCTTGGGTTCCGAGGCTTTGGGAAGGGAAGGGTTAAAGGGGCCTTAGATCGGGCAATTGGGCTACTAGCCCAAAGTGGAGAGAGTTTATGGCATCAAGTTTTGGGGCTGGGGCTGGGGCCCAGGGGTGGGGAATGAAAGAGTTAAAAGGTCCAGGTAGAGTGGAAGCCTAGTCCTGGGGGGCAGGAAAGAGACTATAATAAGGAGTGCCAAGATGCCAGGGAGAGGTAACGGGCTCCACCAAGATGCTCAGAGACAAGAGGTTCTGGGAGAGAAAGGGTTCAAGGCCCTGGGGTGGGGAGGGAGGGGGAGAAGGAGGGCCTAGGCTGAACTTGGACTTGGACAGAAGAGGTTCCGGCGCCCTGCAGCAGGGGGCGCTCGTCAGCAAGGGTACCTGGCGCTGGGACCCTGGGGGAAAGAAGCTAATCAGAAGGCCAAGGGCTGGCAGACTCACCCGGGAGGAATACAGGGTGGGACTCAGTGGGTCTGGGAAGTGGGCCAGGCCTGGCCAGAGCCTGTTTAGAGAGAGGGAGGAATTAGTGAGTGTGGCAGAGACAGCATCCAATCAGGAAGCTGGGTGCCAGGCACACAGCCAATTGAGCAATTTGAAGTGGATATAACATTGGCTTCAATAAAGAGCCCATTTCGATTGTATATCGGGAAAGATGGAGTGAATTAAAAAGAAAAAAGTCAGGTGCTTGGGTTTGGACTTGACTGACTTCCAGAATAAGCCCGTGGGGATGTCTGGTCATAAATATTTTCTCGCTATCATCCCACCTCTCTGGGCTTAATCCGGCCGTGTGATTCTTTAAGCTTCTTGATGTCTCTCTTACTATCTTAGCTTCCGACCTTTGCACTGGAAACCATGACCCTCTAATCTCTTCAGGCCCTATCTCTGCCCTAACGTTGATCCCCTAAGTCTCACTCCAAGGGCCTCTCCTTGCAGATGCTCTGCTCTCTGACCTGGAGACCACCACCTCACACATGCCAAGGTCAGGGGCTCCAAAAGAGCGTCCCTCAGAGCCACTCACACCTCCCCCACCCTATGGCCACCAGCCACAGGTGAGAGCAGATACTAAGGCCTGGGGAGCTGTGAAGGCCAGGGTTGGCTTGGGCTAGGGGAATCTGAACCTGGGTGGTGTCACAGTACAGGTGTGTCATTCTAGACACATGTGTCTTCTCTCTGTAGACAGGGTCTGGGGAATCTTCGAGAACCTCTGGGGACAAGGACCATCTATACAGGTGAGGGGCATGGGATGGTTGAAGCTGATCGAAGCTCAGGTGAGAAGGCTTGGAGTCCTCAGTCTGAGTCCAGGCTTTCATCCTGTTTCTCAGTACGGTATGCAAGCCTCGGTCTCCAAAGCCTGCAGCCCCTGCGGCTCCTCCATTCTCCTCTTCCAGTGGTGTCTTGGGCACTGGGCTCTGTGAGCTAGATCGTTTGCTTCAGGAACTGAATGCCACCCAGTTCAACATTACAGGTACCAGGGTTACTAAAATGACAGGCCCGAATAGGGTGGCAGGGGAGAGGGGGGAAGCTGGGAAAGGGAAGAGACTAAGGGACACAGACTTCCCAGAAGAGAAGTGAAAACGACACAAAACTTTTAACTGAGAGGATGGATCGAACATGGCCCCATGTCCAGTGCTTTTCTCTTGTCTCTCTAGATGAAATAATGTCTCAGTTCCCATCTAGCAAGGTGACAGCAGGGGGCCAGAAGGAGGACCAATCTGAAGACAAGAGCAGCCAGTGAGTTTGGCTTGGCTGGCAGGGCTGGAGAGAGATGCTAGGTTCTTGGATGTTACTAGAGGGATTGTTGAGCTGAGATGCTCTGAGACAATACAAGCTGTTTTCTTCCTAAGTCCTCCCAGTCCAGCTCCTGTCCTCCCAAAGCCTTCGGCTACCTCGGCCACAATGGAGCTGGATAGACTGATGGCCTCGCTCTCAGACTTCCGTGTCCAGAATCACGTGAGTCAGGCAGGGTGTGGGCAAGGTGTCAGCTCATGGCTCCCCAACCTATTTTAGATCCCTTCTACATCTTTTGACTTGTTGATTCAATCTTATGTCCTCTCTGCTGTAGCTTCCAGCCTCTGGGCCAAGCCAGCCACCAGTGGTAAACTCCACAAATGAGCGGTCGCCATCTCCACCAGAGCAGACTGGCAAGGGCAGCCTAGATACCATGCTGGGGTTGCTGCAGTCCGACCTTAGCCGCCGTGGTGTTCCTACTCAGGCCAAGGGCCTCTGTGGCTCTTGCAATAAACCTATTGCTGGGCAAGTAAGTGGAGCTTACTTGTTTACCATCTTCACCAACAACCAGGCTTGGCGATATCCTCTTTCAATGAATAACTCTGCAAAGTGGACATGATAATTGTATTTTTATCATTTTTTTAGCGTGTGTCAGTCTTGGTGCTTGAGGTCAGGACCTGGGCTCTGACCTTTTTATGCTCCAGGCTAGTGCTATACCACTTCTGAACTATAGTTCCACTTCTGGCTTTTTGGTGGTTACTTTGGAGATAAGAGTCTCACAGACTTTCCTGCCTGGGCTGGCTTTGAACTGGGATCCTCAGATCTCAGCCTCCTGAGTAGCTCGGATTACAGGCTTGAGCCATGGGCACCTGCCTAATACTTTTTAAATTAATTTTGTGCGTGTGTGCACACTGGGAATCAAACACAGAACCTTGGATACGCTAAGCATAGGCTTTTCCATGATCTACACCCCCAGCCCACCATTTATGTTTTATTTATAAGGAAAATAATGCTCTGAGACACCAGAGCAAGTAGGTGGTAGGGTGCAGATTCCAACCTTGTTGTGGCCCTACTTTGTGGCACACAGTATTTGCCTTACCATGAGAGTGTTTCAAGTTCTCATTTATTTAGTCTTTAAAAACAAAACCTGTTGGCTGCTTCTCCTGGGTATCACAAAGATTTTTCCCCATTGAGAGGCTGGTCTGGGAGCTTTGGTCCTTGACTTATGGTCTGAGCAGATGTGATTGATAACAGCTGTGCCCAATGGTTGAGCTAGAACCTTCTGCTAGATAAAGTGCTTGAGCCCCATTCCAGAATTGCCAGTCTCAGCAAAGCATGGTGGTATCATGATTTCCATCAGCTCTAGGTACTTTTTTCTTTATTAAAAGAAATTATAGCCGGGTGCTAGTGGCTCATGCCTGTAATCCTAGCTACTCAAGAGGCTGAGATCTGAGGATCGTGGTTCAAAGCCAGCCTGGGCAGAAAAGTGACAGAAAAAAAATATTTTGCCAGTCCTGGGCTTGAACTCTAGGCCTGGGCGCTGTCCCTCAGGTCTTCAGCTCAAGGCTAGCACTCTACCACTTAAGCCACAGTGCCACTTCCAGCGCTGAGGAATCGAACCCAGGGCCTCATGCATGCAAGGCAAGCACTCTACCACTAAGCCAACTTCCCAGCCACCCCCAAATAAATTATATATGTGTTGGTATGAAATTAAATATACTGATATTAGATATTAAGTCATCTTTTTCTTGTTCATTTTTTTCCCTTCTGACT